CGATGGGTGCTCGTCTGATCCGCATGTATGGTCTTGCTTCGTCCATAATGCGTCCATAATGCATAGTGTTTGACTGATATGTACTTAGCGCATTTTGTGGGGATTTCATTTTTCATTGCTCGAGGCCGGCGAGTGCACGGTCCTCGGCTTCCCTCTTTTGTTGGGGGGGGGGGGGGGGGATTTCGCTTAAGACCGGCGAGTGCGCGCCCCTTCGGCTCTCCCTCTTTTATTTCGATTCCCTATTTCAAGGAGTGTCCTTCTTTCAGGCTTCGGTCGAGGGGGTCGACAGTCCCTCGGCTGGTGGGGCATCATATAGATCGCCTTATGGTCTCGGGGAGGTCCCGTCGCCTATTTTTGACGCGGGCTACGCTTTTGGTCGGTATCCGACGGCTGCCGTTTCCCAACCCCGAGTTTGAGGATTTTGTCACCTCGGCCATGATTTCAGACCGGTCGTCCTGCCATTTCAAGACGTGGGCCGTTTGTGGGCCCCTCGTCCTGGGGACACCGTCAGCCATACCTGAGCGTCTCGCTCTAAGGGGCCGAAACGGTGTGCTCTCTCAGCTAGACCTGAGCCTTTCGCTCTAAGGGGGGCTGATACGAAATACAATGTTGAGCATACCTGAGCCTTTCGCTCTAAGGTTGCTGACACGATACGTGGTATCTTCTATTTACATTTCCAAAAAATAAGCGGAATACAATAGGTGCGTTGTTCATGGCAACGGCTTTTGGGGGACGCGATTAGCGTCTCGGAGAACGAGGTGTACCGTTTACAACTCTTGGGCATAATGCTGTGTGCGACCGGTAGCGGCTCTCATTTTTAGATGTCTGAGTCGCCGAATAAAGGTGACTAGGGTAGGTCGATGGACCTAAATATAATCTGAATCATCAAATAAAGATGTTCGGTAGGCTAGAGCTAGGGTTCACCACTTTGGGGATTTTTGACCCGGTTTTATGGCAGTGATAAAAATAATAACGCCAATAATAATGCATCATTAGCGACCTCGGGAAATTTTAACCCGTCATAATGGTCTTCACCACCTCGGGGGGTTTTAACCCGCCATAATGGTGGTGGAAATGATATAATTAATAATAGTAATAATTATACTACTATCATTTAATAAATACTTTAAGTGTATAAATAGGAGGAAATTTGGGGTACTTAGCTTTTAAGTGGGCTGGAATGAAGTGTTTTGTTGATAGCCAGCCTTTTGAAAAATTTGCTTGGGCTATGAATCCGTAAGATTGACTATGATTTAATTCCTCATGGGCCTTGACTTATACACTCCATGCTTGCCTTGAAGAGTAGCTATTGGATTTTGACCTAGCCGCCATTGCCTCCATCAGTCTGGTGTGGACAAAAGCTCCAGAGGAAACAGCGGGGGACCACCAGGACAGCGTCGCCGGCACAGCTTCATCCCTACTTCGGTGCTTCGTCACCAGCACCAAGGGCTTCCAAGGTATCGCAGGCGGCGGAGCTTGCGGCGGAGCTCAGCTTTCCGGTAGAGCGTTGGTTGTGGCGTCCATGGCCAGAACAGCTCTGGAGAGCCTCCTCCTTTCTCATCTCTTTATGGGGACGACGCATTTGCTTGGACAGCGAACTTCCTCAGGTGGCCCGCTTCCGCTGTGGCGCGCGACGGTGGCTGGAGTGGCGATCTTTCCAGTGAAGACCTCTCCGACGACATTAATGGCGTGATCCTCGCTTGGCAGGTCCCTGAAGTGTCGCTCATGGACGGGTTGAGCAGGGGACGGTCACCAACCAGATGGAAGAGCAGACCAGAAGCTTCGATTTCCATGACAGATGGGTGGGCGAGCTTCGGACTGCGACCTGCGATGCTGGGACAGGTGTTAGCAGCGGATCTGCACCGGAATTCGTATTCAAAACCGTTTTCCGGTGGCTGCTGGGTCGATTCTGGGCAGATTCTTCCGGACTTGATTTTCCTTTTTTTGGTGTTCTTCAAACTGTTTTTCTGGATTTTTTTGTGATTGGAATGGATTTGTGGTTATATTGGGAGGGATTTCTCACTTGATTTTGCTCTAATCTCTCAATGAAAGCACCATTGATGGATTATAGGGGTATCCAAACTATAATAAAATGGAGAGATTTGAGCTAATGTGAGGAAGAAGATGAATGAATAGTAAAGTATGAATGAGTTGTGTTCTAGGGTTACAAGCTCCAAAAGGAGTATAAATAGAGAAATAATGGGTCGGGCCGCTAATATAGGCCGATAGGCCCAACTACATAAAAGACTAATCTAGTACATACAAATGATATAAATGACGTCCGATAAGCGTGTGTGGGCCACTGTCCGGGCCCAATAGTCGTGAGACCCGAGGGTCCGAGTCTATATACTCCATCAAATAGTTAATTAATTAGTTATAAGAGAAGAGTTTGATGCTCTTAGCTTCCAAACGAAACTAAGTTTTATACTCAAAGGTTCTAAACAAAACTTTATAAGATAAATCATTAGTCTTTTTTTTTATCCCGGAAGGCAAACCACCAAAATCAGTGGGGTAAATGCCGGGAGTCAGATACCAGGATTTTATTAAAAATTAGATCTGAATACGAAAAAAGAGGGGGACTATACCAAAACCTCTTTTAAACAAGATACAGAAATTAATGGAAACGTAACGCGGCTATACCAAAAAGATCCATTAATGGAAACGTAACGCTTAGCCATCACATGTAAATCGATCGGGCTGAGAAATTCTTTTAACGGCCCAGAATGGAATTGGGCCAAATAATGCGCAACTTCGTTAACTTCCCGATATACATGCCTGAAGGATAACCCTTTCCTTTTTGCAATCTGTACAGTTTCCTGAATAAGTGTTTTCCATTTCCTCACCGCTGGATTTTGAAGAAAGCCAATCGCCATATCCGAGTCTGCCTCCACCTCGAACTCGCCATAACCAGCATCCGTCGCCCAACGAATAGCTGTTGAAATGGCTTTTATTTCTGCTTCCAATGCCGATGATGCCTCCAGATCCAAGCTAGCTGCGCAAACCAAACATCCGTCTGGATTTCTCAGAATCGCACCGCCCGAAGCCAAACCAGATAAGTAACGAGCATCAGTGTTTAATTTCATCACTCCATTCGGTTTACGCCATCTTAAGATCTGTAGATAAATCATTAGTCATACTAACAAATTTATTGATCGGTCGTATAATAATAATATGTTCAAGTGTACATATATCTCAACATATGTCAACTCCAACATTCGATCTACTAAAAGTTAGGAAAATATAATGTACAAAAGTCTAGAGTAAAATGGAACTTAAATATGTAGGCTATAATGTAAAATGTATAACATGCACCACCTTAAATGTTTAAATGACATAATATTCAACTTTTCTTATAATGTACCTTTTTTGGAAGACTTATAATGTACTTTTGAAGTGTCAAATATGTTTAACTTGTATAATATTTGTACTAAACGTGAAATTGTTACATTGTATATAAAGTAAGTACTTGTTGAAGTTAAAATGCATCTAATTGATCGTAAAAATGCATTATGAATACTTCAGCAGTAAACAAATGTGAATGAATGAGCTTTTGATGTGGTAACTTATCTAATAAATTAGTTATGATGATTTGTTCCATTTAATTCTCAAGATAAAATGAGAATCGTGAGTTCAAAGTGAAAGTAAAACATAAAAAGGAAGGTTTTAAATAAATTTAGTTTAATTGTCTAGATGGTAATGCAACAATGGTTTATTTTTTTCTTTTCAATAGCAACATGCGTAATGTTGATGATAATAATAACGAGTCAAAATTCAACATCATTAGTAAAACACACTATTTCCAATCATTTGAGTATAATCTTCATCGTCATTTTGATAAATTATATTTAATGGTCAGATTTTACTTCCGATTCTCTCTTAGACTCTTGGAAGTTGGACACTTTCTCACTTGAACCAACCCATATATATATATACTAGAGATGACTATATATTATTAGAAACAAATATGTACTAAAAAATGTTACTGACTTGGCGATTTGGGAGTAGATACAAATTTTGTGAACACTCGTAGAAGAGTCCTGGGTTGAAATCATTTAGAGCATGTCAAGGATAGTGTGGTGAGAATATTTAAAAAATATATATACTTTCTGTGACGGTTCTTGAATGATTATTTCAAGAAATAAAAAATGTCTGTCGTGTTGCGATTACTGTATTTTTTACTCATGTTTGCTAATCTTATAAGACACCACAACTAGATTAAAATAATAGCATGAAGTAAGTTTTTTCCTTACAATGATTTAATGAGTTCGATTGTGTAAACCTAATGACAAATCTCACAAGAGAAATGATGACAAAACAAATCGTAAATTTACAAATAAATAATGTTCAATGTGATAATGCATCTCAAGCCTTTGGTCGCAAATAAAGCCAAAAAAAATTAAAGCTACTTGGTATATAAAATGGTAAAATATTGCTAAAGAATAGTGGAAGAAGGATAACTAAGGCAAAAGATATATATAGATATTCTAGAAATGAATCGTGGTAGTCCAGATGTAGCAAGGCACGCCTAGTCTCTTCGATAATTTTGTCACCCAAAACACCTTATTGGCCTTGATGACAATAGAGGTCCACTATTCTAGGCTTGACTCGGTCATAAAAATAAACCTTAAGAAAAAATTACACAACAAAACATTTAATGTCAATCCACGTTGAAAGGTGGTGACGGGTGACTTATTACCAAACAAGTCATCTCTAGTCTTAATTAACATATAAAAAGTTCTATGAAACTTCTTAAATGATATATAGACATTCCAGTACAACATAAAATCGACTTTTTGTAACACATCGTTTGCAACACATATTATTTTGTTACATGTAACATTTAAAATCGAAATTTTGCAACACTAATTAATTAATGTTACATAAACATCTAAAGCACTCAAATATGTAACACATATTACAATGTGTTGCATATAATTAAGTATTATGTAACATTTATTTTGAAAGTGTTACATTTCATAATGACTATGTAACATAATTAGCGAGTATTTGTGGAATTAGGTTTGATGCCTGCTCTCGTGCTCAGATATGAGTAAAACCTAGGGTCTAGTTCTCTAATCCTTGCTCAGATCGGAATTTGAAGTTGTGATACTCCTAATTCGCAACTCAAGTCGAGCTTCAATTCAAATTCTCCTCAGTCCAGTTAGATGTACATTCATCTACTCCACCCGCAATTTTCATCTGGGTGTTACGATTTAGCTACGAGTTCACCAGCAGACACGAAGAGAGCTCGTCCATGTAGTCCGTACGCACAAAGGGGCAGCTGACTCTGCCTTCCGGTGCACCTACCAGAAACATGACATCGTCGGGAAAAGGGGTTCCATTGTCAAAAGAACTTACGCGAATCACGGGTGGACCTTGACGATCAAAATAAGAATCATGTGGCCGCTGGTGGTTCAGGCAATGTTCAAATGCCAGCGTATTCCCCAAGGTGTTACGCTCCAGAACTGCCACAACGCCCAAAGCTGTAGTAATCAAAGTAAATCGTGTACTTTGTTGCGATGCGGCTGATGCGCTCCACTTTAGAATCACCATCAGACTTTGGTAAGCTCTTTACTCCCATCTTATACTAATCAGCTCTTATTCTCTATCCTCTGTTTTGATCTTCACTCTGGTGATGGCGTAGTGGTTAAACAATGAATGTGAGAACTAGTTTTAATTGTAGTTAGGTTTTCAATGTGTTGTGAATTAGAAATATAGCTCAATGCTTCCTTAAAAAAGAGTTTGTAATTGTCAAATAAGGTCTGAATTAAGCTACTCTTTTCCATAGTACCCATGAAAGACTACGGAAAAGAATTGATGGGAAAAAATCTTTTTTTTCTTTCCGTTACTATGTTCTAATACTAGATAGAGGCTATGAATACAAGAAAATCATTACTTGCCATTACTATGTTTTAAGTGGGTATTACCTCAAAACCATGAGACATTTAGCCTCTATTTATCGGGGGCTTTAGTTGCGTGGTGAAACTTGAAATGGTTGTTACTTCATTATATGATGTCTCTTTTAGAATCCATTGAAATTAGCAGTCTTTCCTTTCACCATTAAGATATGTATTTTTTCTTATTCTACTAGCATTTAAAAAGCTGAGATGTAGTGATATATGTCAATATGTCAAGTGATGTATATTGTTACTTTATCTCTAAAAAGAGAATACTTGACTCTATAAACTAATTAACTTATTTCACCCTCAAGCTCACTTATTAAGTTGGTGAAAGAAAAATATATTTTTCAATTAGTTCATATTTACTTTTAGTAAAATATGTAATAAACCTTGAAAGATGATTTATGAATTTACGTAATGGTAAAATGTTATTATTTCTTTTACGCGAATAGTAAATTGCATGTGGGGCCCACAGCGGGAACGAGGACCGCCCGATAATTCCCGAACCACATATTATATTCATCTTGGTCTAGATGACATCTACATAAAGGTGGATGTTTTATTTGGGCCATAAGAAAGGCATGGAGTTGACCGGTTGGTCAAACGGGCCCAATTACCGGTATCGATAATTTAGCGGATAACAGCCCGAAATGAGTTTCGGAGACTCCTAAATTAATGTTGGGGATTGTACATCTATTCTAAAGGCCCAAAACTGTTGGGAACGCGTGATATATTTTATCCGGCGCGATAAAATAAAATATGACTAAAGTAGTCCGAAAAATATAACTTTCGGGGCCAATTATACACACCGGGATATAATGGGATGACCTCCCACATAAGTGGGGGCCACCCCACGACCCAATGTGCTGCAAATGACAAGGAAGCAGCTGGGGGTGTACCTAGTAGGTGGGAAGTCTCCAAGAGACAAAACCCATACCCACCATTACCCTACTCCCTTGTTTTTATGGGTTGACTTAGGTGGATGGTGATAATCACTCATCCTAGCATTTCCTTGAACCACCCACTCGACCAAGACAGAGAGAGAAGCTCTAGGGAAGTCTCCTCTCATAGTCCAAGCAGCAAGGAAGAGAATCCAAAGAGAAGAGTGTTGTTTTTGAGGTAAGAACTCAATAAACAATCTTTAACTAGTTTTATTATTGTATGATTTTCAAGAAATCATATGGTGGATTAAACCATGAGTTCTACACGTTTAAAAGTGTAGAATACCGATATAAAGTGGTGTTAATTAACTTAGAAGAGTTGGTGAATCGATAAGAGTCGAAATCGCCGGAAATCGCCACTTCAAAGGAGCTAGTCGTAGTTGCAGACCACGAAAGCCGCCCGGCTTTCGTGAAAGCCGCCCGGCTTTTGCCCAGAAACCCAGTTTTCACTTTCAATCGGCCTAGAACGGGGATTGATCGAGGAGCTTAGCAAAGACAACTATTTCAGCACTTCATAAGGTGAGGATGGCTGACTATATTGCTTATAATTAGTGAGTTAATTTCATAAGATTGCCTAAAGTAATTAGATGGGATTTTCATGCATTATTAATGATTAATAATGTCTAAATGAAAATGATATTGATATGAGTAAGTGAAGCATGATATACAAATTTAGAATAATTGTATATGATTATGTGAAATAAATGGAACGACATATTAATGGAATTACTATGATGACATTGTGATAAAATATACTTTACGCCATGTATGAAATTCATGAACGGAGTAAAGTGATGTTTTTGATATTGAGATCAAACTATACTTGTGTTGGGAAATCAATTGAAATGAAAAGTCAATTGGAAAATAGGAACTTGGCATGTTCTAAGATTATCCAATTAGTATCAAAACACTAGTCGGGAATTAATATAAATAAATGATAAAACAAATCCTAAGAGGTGGGATTGTGAATGGATATGCCTTAAGTAGTCTCAAGAGATACTTTAAGGTTGAATTGTATGAACACTAAGGTGTGATAGGGGTAGGCCTAAAGGCTACCTACGGAAATTGATTCTAGGCATAGGATTTGCTTGAGAATTTGATTATGAAAATAATTAGAGTTGGACTCTAGGATGACATGGAAATGTAGTTGGGCCGAGCCCATGCCATGTAATATGATTAGCATGGAAACGTAGTTGGGCCGAGCCCTTGCCATGTATATGTGATCTCCGTGGAAACGTAGTTGGGCCGAGTCTTTGCCACGAAGTTATGGTTGGTATGGAAACGTTGTTGGGCCGAGCCCTTGCCATACAAATTTGATATGTTATATTGAGTTAGAGGATTGTATAGAGATGTCGTTGGGCCGAGCCCATGCTATACAATTGGGGCTCGATGGGACCCCACGGGGTTATCGTGACTTGCGGTCACGGGGGAATGGAAATGATGAATTCTAAATGAATATAGGCCCACGGGCCGACTACTTGACTCTATATAAAGTAAGTACAGTTAAAAGAAGAAAAGGGGTAACCGAGGGTTATGGCCTATAATATAATAGCACCCTAAGTTGAGGGTCTTAGAAATTAAAACATCAATTATACTTAGTATAGTTGCTATTGTACTTGTCAAATATTTCCAAGTACTGACCTCCCCTTCACGGGGGAGGCCACCTCACAGTTTCAGGTAGAACTTGAAGGTTGCTGCCACCGCCCGTTGCTTCGGGAAGATCAAAGGGAGAAGACGTGGTTCGTGCTTCTTCCGTTTCTGTTTTGAAAACAATTTAAATAATGCTCATGGATATTGTTTCTTGAAATAATTATTTGGGGGCTTGTATGCCCATGTTTGCCAAGGTGTGGCATAAACACTTGTGTTAAATGTTTCCGTTGCTATAAATGTTTATTTTACATTATGTTTGTTTATGGATGTACTATGTGTGAATGGTATTCAAGACGCCTTGTATAGTATGGATGAGTCGGACTGCGGTTGACTATTTGTACTGTACGGCAGGTTGTTGACAATTTAAAAACCGGCTAGGTCCGGGGCGTGACAATTTAATTGGTATCAGAGCCTTAGTCTGTAAACATCATAATGAAGCTTCAAAATTTCTTTTTGAAAACGAATTTGAAAACCATGAGCATAAGGTTTTGTACTTATAGAACTTTTGGTACTTGAGTTGCAATGTCTCTAATTGTTAAGATGGTACCCTTAACAATTGGTATGGCGGTGATTTGATCCAAAGGATGTCTTTAAGTACCTATCCGTCAATTGACATTTGATACGAGTCTAATGACTCATTCTCAATTTCTTTCAGAAATGGAACGTACCGGGAAAGTAACTAGAAGGAACCCAACTGGCCGAGCACCGGGAGGATCCGTGCAAGGCAGTAGAGGGGCTTCTAGGGTGTCCAGAGGACAGGGCCGTGGAGGCCAAGATCAGACCGTGAGTGACGGTTATGTTGGAACAGTCAACGAGTCCTATGAGTCTGAGGAGGATTCAACGTATCAACCGGGAACTGAGCCGGTTGAGAACCCATATGATGGGGAGTATGATGATGCTAGTGAGGGGAGCGACGATGATGACGCTCTGGAAAGGATGGAGGAACTACTCCGTCAATTTCAACAGGATCGCCAAAGGCGCCGGGCAAGGCGTGCTTTGGGAGGGGCTTCAAGAAGGGGAAGCCATGCGGGTTCTAGGGGACATGTAGAGTCCCGAGTAGATCGAGGTGTCGAGGTCCCGATAATAAGGATCTCGAAGTACCTCAAGGAAGCAAGAGACCTGGGGTGTAAACCGTTCGATGGAATGGGAGATATATCCGTTGCGGCGGAGTGGATCAAGAGGTTCAATGAAGCGGCCCTTGATATGCAGCTGCCGTCAAACATGAAGATGAGAGTAGCAACAAGGTTGCTAGAGGGGATGGCGTCCACATGGTGGGACGGTGTCAAGGGGAAGTACGGTGAGGCCGTAATTTGGGAGAATTTCCGGCAGGAATTCTTCAACCAATACTACTCCAACTTCGAGGTGAACTTGAAGAGGAGAGAATACACCAACTTGACCCAAGGAGGCAAGTATACCGTGAGGCAACTTGAGCACAAGTTCAGGGAGCTCGCGGAGTTCATACCGGAGTATGCTTGTGATGAGAACCAGATGGTGAATCACTTTTGGGATGCTTTAGACTTAGACGTGCGTGAACGGGCAACACAATTGCCTAACATGACGTTTAGTCAAGTGGTGGAGCAAGGCCTGAAAGGGGAGAAGGAATGGGAAGAAAGAAAACTGAAAAACGTCGAGGAGGCGAAGAAGAGGAAATGGGAGAACACCGGCCCCCAAGGTTCTAGCAAGAAGGGGAACCACGGGGGAGGTGGGTCTTTCAGAACGCCCGCACCACCATCTAGGGGAAATCAAGGCCCAGGAGGGCAAGGCTCGAGGTCGCAAGGCTCGGGCATTAACAGGTGCAACAACTGCAAGAGGAACCACGCGGGCGAGTGCCGCGATCCCCCTAGGTGCTACCAATGCGGGGAGACGGGGCACTTGAGATCAAACTGCCCACAACTTGGGCGAGTCATGGGTGCAGGACCTAGCAGCGGGACTACGGAAAGTAGGAACCGAGCAGGGGCACCTCACGCGAGCACGACGCACGGAGGGCCAAGTACAAGCAACGCACCATCCGTGAACCAAGGCAAGACCCAGGCTAGGGTCTATGCGATGACGGACGCACGTGCTAACCCGGACTCCGTGGCGGGTAAAATCTTAAACTCATGTTATTAACTCCATTGTATGCAATAGGAGTGTTTGTAATGTGCAAAATTTGTAACCCCGACGGTTTGGTCGGGATTGTAGGGGAAAGGGGAGGAAAAATCCCCGCCTTGGGCGAATGCCGCCCGGCATTTGACGAAAGCCGCCCGGCTTTCGTCTTGATTTATTGGGAAAATACTGCGGCGACGAATGCCGGCCGGTTTCCACCAAAAACCGCCCGGCTTTCGTCAACATTTAATCAGGAAAATCCTCGCAACCAAAAACCGGCCGACTTTTGTAAAGACCGGTCGGCTTTCATAAATGCCTGACCTGGGAAATTTCTCGCAGCTGAAAGCCGCCCGACTTTGGCGAAAGCCGCCCGGCTTTCGTTGGGCCTGGGGATTCCTGCGCTGCTGAAACCCGGCCGGGTTTCGTAGAAACCGGCCGGCTTCGAAACCCATTCCATGAATAAAAACTGCGGCGACGAAAACCGGCCGGCTTTCGTGGAAGCCGCCCGGCTTTCGTGATTTACATACAGGGATTTTTCTCGCAGACGAAAACCGGCCGACTTTCGTGAAAAGCGGCCGGCTTTCACCCGGTTTAGTCCTAGAGCGTTTCTAAAGGTTAGAAACCGAGGAATTTCGGGAGGGTGTCGAACGGACTTCACCCGAACCACGACCAACATACTCTACGACTTAAGAAACAAGCCTATTGATTAGATAGTGTGTCTTACATCACTTATGAATGTAGGAACACTAAAGATAAACGGGAGAGACGCAAGGATCCTTATTGATACCGGGGCGCAACGATCATTTGTGAGTGAGGCGTTCGCCAGCGGATTCAACGGACCACTTGTACCGATGACTCAAACCCTATTGGTGTCCACGCCTCTAGGGGATGATATCGAGAGAGATAGCCACTATCCATCGTGTGAGGTGGAGGTAGAGGGACAGAACTTGACGTGTGATTTCGTACCGCCGAGTATGATCGAGTTTGATGCAATCCTCGGGATGGATTGGCTTGAGAAACATCATGCTAGGGTCGATTGCTACACAAAGATTCTTGAACTCGAAGGCGGTGAAGGGTTGACCTTACTCTTCGAGGGAGATAGAGGCAAATCAAACAGTTGTATCATATCCGCCGTGAGGGCGAGGAATATGATGAGAAAGGGATGCCACGCATACCTAGCGTATGTGGTGGACAAAACCAAAGGAGAGATAGACATCAATGATGTGAGAATAGTGTGCAAGTATCCGGATGTCTTCCCAAAAGACTTGCCGGGACTTCCACCCGATAGGGAGATTGAGTTCGTGATCGAGGTTGAACCTGGCACCAAACCAATCTCTATACCGCCATACAGAATGGCACCCGCTGAACTTAATGAGTTGAAAACCCAATTGCAAGAGCTATTGGATAACGGTTTCATAAGGCCGAGTCACTCTCCGTGAGGAGCACTGGTCCTTTTCGTGAAAAAGAAAGATGGAACACTTCGAATGTGTATTGACTATCGTCAACTGAACAAGGTCACAATCAAGAATAGGTATCCCTTGCCTAGGATTGATGACTTGTTTGATCAGCTCCGAGGAGCAACGGTGTTTTCAAAGATTGACTTGAGGTCGGGGTACCACCAACTGAAGATAAGGGAGGATGACATACTAAAGAGTGTGTTCCGCACAAAGTATGGTCATTTCGAGTTCCTAGTCATGTCGTTCGGGCTAACCAATGCCCTGGCGGCATTTATGGACTTGATGAACCGAGTATTTCATAAATACTTGGACCAGTTTGTGATTGTGTTCATAGATGATATCTTGATTTACTCAAAGAGTGAAAAAGAGCATAAGGAGCACTTGATACTTGTTCTTGAGACATTACGGGAGAAGCAACTTTATGCCAAGTTTTCCAAATGTGAATTTTGGCTAAGGGAGATTGGCTTTCTCGGGCATGTGGTTTCAGGATCAGGGATTGCCGTAGATAACAAGAAGATTGAGGCCGTTACTGAATGGGAGAGGCCAAAGAACGTCAAGGAAATTCGTAGCTTCCTTGGATTGGCAGGGTATTACCGAAAGTTCGTGGAGAAGTTCTCAGTTTTGGCGTCACCATTGACGAAGCTCACTCGAAAGGGGGCCAAGTTTGTATGGGATGACCGATGTGAGAAGGGATTCCTTGAACTAAAGAAGAGATTGACCGAGGCACCGGTACTTGCATTACCCCGACATGGTATGGGGTACGATGTCTATAGCGACGCGAGCATCCAAGGGCTTGGATGTGTCTTAATGCAGGATGGGAGGGTGATTGCCTATGCTTCACGACAGTTGAAGAAGCATGAGGTAAATTATCCTACTCTTGATTTAGAGTTGGGGGCAGTGGTATTTGCGTTAAAGATTTGGAGACATTATCTCTACGGGGAAACATGTCATATATACACTGACCACAAAAGCCTGAAATACGTGTTTACTCAGAAAGAGTTAAACATGAGACAGAGACGGTGGATGGAGTTGATAAAAGACTACCATCTAGTTATCGAGTACCACCCCGGTAAAGCCAACGTGGTAGCGGATGCCCTGAGCCGAAAGAATTCGTCTGGGGCATTGTTGACTAGTTTGAGGGCATTGAGAGCCCGATTGGAGGTATCTAGTGACGGTGCTTTGTTAGCTAGATTCGAGGTGAGACCTACATTACTTGATGAGATCAAGAAGGGTCAAGAAACTGATGAAGAGCTCATGAAGGTCCGGGAACGCATGCTAGCGGGACCGGTTGAGGATTTCAGGGAAAGAGACGATGGTCTCTTATTATTTTGTGACCGAGTGTGTGTGCCGTTGGATGATGGGCTCCGAAAGTCCATCTTAGAGGAGGCCCATTCATCAGCATATGCCATGCATCCGGGAGGCACGAAAATGTACCGGGATTTGAAAGAAAGTTACTGGTGGTCGGGTATGAAGAGAGAAATAGCTGAATACATCAGTATGTGTCTTACTTGTCAGCAAGTTAAGGCAGAGCATCAGCATCCAGCTGGGTTGTTATAGCCATTATCCATTCCTGAATGGAAATGAGAACACGTGACTATGGATTTCGTGGTAGGGCTGCCACGGACGATTAAGAACTATGACGCCGTATGGGTTGTGGTTGATAGGCTCACGAAGAGTGCGCACTTTTTACCTATCAACACCACCTATGCATTGGAAAGGTTAGCCAAGTTGTATGTGGATGAGATCGTGAGGCTACATGGAGTTCCTATAACCATTGTATCCGATAGAAATCCGCGATTCACATCACGATTTTGGCCGAAGTTCCAAGAATCTATGGGGACAAAACTGAAATTCAGTACAGCTTTTCATCCACAAACGGATGGGCAATCCGAGCGGGTTATACAGATATTAGAGGATATGCTGAGAGCTTGTGCATTGGAGTTCCAAGGGAGTTGGGACAACCATTTGGCACTTGTGGAGTTTGCCTATAACAACAGTTATCAGGCGAGTATAGACATGCCTCCATACGAGGCATTGTATGGGAGGAGATGTCGTACACCTTTGTGTTGGGATGAGGTTGGCATGGCCAAACTCGAGAGCACGGAACTGGTGAAAATAACCAAGTCAAAGGAGAAGATGATTCGTGACAGACTTAAGGCGGCACAGGATAGACAGAAGAGCTACGCCGATAAGCGCCGAAGAGCCTTAGAGTTTAAGGTTGGAGATGAGGTATTTTTGAAAGTTTCACCTTGGAAAGGAATCATCCGATTTCAGAGCCGAGGGAAACTTAACCCACGCTACATAGGGCCATTTGTAATTCTTGATAGAATTGGGGCCGTAACATACCGATTACAGTTGACTCCAGAATTGGAGAAAATACATAATGTATTCCATGTGTCTATGCTTAAGAAGTATATTCCGGATCCATCTCATGTATTAGAAAAACCACCCGTGGAGATCCGGGAAGACTTGAATTATGTCGTGAAACCGGTGAAGATACTTGACAGGCAAGTCAAGAAATTGAGAAGCAAGAAAGTTCCAATGGTTAAAATCCTCTGGAAAAGTGACCGAGTTGAGGAGGAAACTTGGGAGACGGAAGCTTCGATGAAAGAGCAATACGCTTTTTTGTTTGAATGAGCATTGTGAATTTCGGGGACGAAATTCCCGTTAAGGGGGGGTGAACTTGTAACACCGACCCCGAGCATATTTACTTTTAGTAAAATATGTAATAAACCTTGAAAGATGATTTATGAATTTACGTAATGGTTAAATGTTATTATTTCTTTTACGCGAATAGTAAATTGCATGTGGGGCCCACAGCGGGAACGGGGACCGCCCGATAATTCCCGAACCACATATTATATTCATCTTGGTCTAGATGACATCTACATAAAGGTGGATATTTTATTTGGGCCATAAGAAAGGCATGGAGTTGACCGGTTGGTCAAACGGGGCCCAATTACCGGTATCGGTAATTTAGCGGATAACAGCCCGAAATGAGTTTCGGAGACTCCTAAATTAATGTTGGGGATTGTACATCTATTCTAAAGGCCCAAAACTGTTGGGAACGCGTGATATATTTTATCCGGCCCAATAAAATAAAATATGACTAAAGTAGTCCGAAAAATACAACTTTCGGGGCCAATTATACACACCGGGATATAATGGGATGACCTCCCACATAAGTGGGGGCCACCCCACGACCCAATGTGCTGCAAATGACAAGGAAGCAGCTGGGGGGGGGGGGGGTGTACCTAGTAGGTGGGAAGTCTCCAAGAGACAAAACTCATACCCACCATTACCCTACTCCCTTGTTTTTATGGGTTGACTTAGGTGGATGGTGATAATGACTCATCCTAGCATTTCCTTGAACCACCCACTCGACCAAGACAGAGAGAGAAGCTCTAGGGAAGTCTCCTCTCATAGTCCAAGCAGCAAGGAAGAGAATCCAAAGAGAAGAGGGTTGTTTTTGAGGTAAGAACTCAATAAACAATCTTTAACTAGTTTTATTATTGTATGATTTTCAAGAAATCATATGGTGGATTAAACCATGAGTTCTATACGTTTAAAAGTGTAGAATACCGATATAAAGTGGTGTTAATTAACTTAGAAGAGTTGGTGAATCGATAGGAGTCGAAATCGCCGGAAACCGCCACTTCAAAGGAGCTAGTCGTAGTTGCAGACCACGAAAGCCGCCCGGCTTTCGTGAAAGCCGCCCGGCTTTTGCCCAGAAACCCAGTTTTCACTTTCAATCGGCCTAGAACGGGGATTGATCGAGGAGCTTAGCAAAGGCAACTATTTCAGCACTTCATAAGGTGAGGATGGCTGACTATATTGCTTATAATTAGTGAGTTAATTTCATAAGATTGCCTCAAGTAATTAGATGGGATTTTCATGGATTATTAATGATTAATAATGTCTAAATGAAAATGATATTGATATGAGTAAGTGAAGCATGATATACAAATTTAGAATAATTGTATATGATTATGTGAAATAAATGGAACGTCATATTAATGGAATTACTATGATGACATTGTGATAAAATATACTTTACGCCATGTATGAAATTCATGAACGGAGTAAAGTGATATTTTTGATATTGAGATCAAACTATACTTGTGTTGGGAAATCAATTGAAATGAAAAGTCAATTGAAAAATAGGAACTTGGCATGTTCTAAGATTATCCAATTAGTATCAAAATACTAGTCGGGAATTAATATAAATAAATGATAAAACAAATCCTAAGAGGTGGGATTGTGAATGGATATGCCTTAAGTAGTCTCAAGAGATACTTTAAGGTTGAATTGTATGAACACTAAGGTGTGATAGGGGTAGGCCTAAAGGCTACCTACGGAAATTGATTCTAGGCATAGGATTTGCTTGAGAATTTGATTATGAAAATAATTAGAGTTGGACTCTAGGATGACATGGAAATGTAGTTGGGCCGAACCCATGCCATGTAATATGATTAGCATGGAAACGTAGTTGGGCCGAGCCCTTGCCATGTATATGTGATCTCCGTGGAAACGTAATTGGGTCGAGCCCTTGCCACGAAGTTATGGTTGGTATGGAAACGTAGTTGGGCCGAGCCCTTCCCATACAAATTTGATATGTTATATTGAGTTAGAGGATTGTATAGAGATGTCGTTGGGCCGAGCCCATGCTATACAATTGGGGCTCGATGGGACCCCACGGGGTTATCGTGACTTGCGGTCATGGGGGAATGGAAATGATGAATTCTAAATGAATATGGGCCCACGGGCCGACTACTTGACTCTATATAAAGTAAGTACAGTTAAAAGAAGAAAAGGGGTAACCGAGGGTTATGGTCTATAATATAATAGCACCCTGAGTTGAGGGTCTTAGAAATTAAAACATCAATTATACTTAGTATAGTTGCTATTGTACTTGTCAAATATTTCCAAGTACTGACCTCCCCTTCACGGGGGAGGCCACCTCACAGTTTCAGGTAGAACTTGAAGGTTGCTGCCACCGCCCGTTGCTTCGGGAAGATCAAAGGGAGAAGACGTGGTTCGTGCTTCTTCCGTTTCTGTTTTGAAAACAATTTAAATAATGCTCATGGATATTGTTTCTTGAAATAATTATTTGGGGGCTTGTATGCCCATGTTTGCCAAGGTGTGGCATAAACACTTGTGTTAAATGTTTCCGCTGCTATAAATGTTTATTTTACATTATGTTTGTTTATGGATGTACTATGTGTGAATGGTATTCAAGATGCCTTGTATAGTATGGATGAGTCGGACTGCGGTTGACTATTCGTACTGTACGGCGGGTTGTTGACGTGTCCGGGTAGGTCCGGGGCGTGACATCATTCTTAAGATTTGAACATTAAAGTTTAGTGGTAACCATGAGATATATATAAAGTCGTTCTTGTTGTTGTGATGTTTGTTGGTGCAGTTAAGAATAGTTTTAAATGTCTCCGTTTAGCATATTTCGCTTTGGGGCCTACCTTTAGGCACATAAAATTAGAAGTTGGAGTTGTGTGTGTTTTATCTTATGTGTTTTTTTCTTTCAAGAATGGTTTGTGTAGTTTCATCTATATAAGGAAGTGTTCAATTGCTGAATTTGCAGATCATGTATTGACCTGAACTCCCAGGCTCAACCCGTAAAGCACTGCTAGCAGATAAACTTGGGCTTTTCATTTTTTAGATTTCTTCCATAATGTTTTTACCTGTCTTTAATTGTATTATATGGGTCAGGCCCAACCCCCCATATGGTTTTATTTTGGCTCGGTTTTCTTTCTTTGTAAAAAAAAGCAGACCATATATTGACACCATGCATCCCTCTGTATGCTCTGCTTGCTGCTATCAGTAAGTGCACATGACCAAATAATGAGACTTCTCATCTATGAAAGTGTTAAGAAAAAATTCCACTTTTGGTCTCGGAACTATTATGTCACTTCCACATTTTGTACCATACTTTCGATTTCGCCACATCTTATCCCATTGTTTTCTCCCGTTACCATTCCTCCTCCTTCCGGCGATAAGTCCGACGGGGTTACCGGTTTTTGCTTTTAATGAAGGTCATTTTAGTAAAATCAAGTTCCTTTTCCACTTATTCCTGTCCAACGCATGTCCTTAAATCCTTCGTACATAGCTATTCTACCATCATCTTCTACCTCTCCTTTGAACCCTAAATCGGATACCCTCAACCATCAACTCCTTCGTTCTACCCTATCGTTCTTCTCACCGGTGAAGCACAAACAACCCAAAATGCATGTCTACCAGTTATTCTTCTTCTTCAAAATCAATAGGTCAGTATGAATATGGAGAATGGATTCCGGTTAAGCATTCACCGTGGGCTTGAAATGAAGCTTTTGACCACATGGAAACATGATAACTGTGGGAGAAGGTTTTGGAAATGTGTGGGAAGTGAGGTGAATTTCTTTGAACAATGCTTGTTTTTTGTTATTTGAGCAACTTGTTAACCGGAAACCTCAATTCGCAGAGATGTCAGGGGCGTGGCTTCATGAATTGGTTTGACCCTCCAATGTGCAAGAGGTCACCAAAAATTATTCCTGGGTTGCTGAAAAAATTGAATGGCTATGAAGACCAAATGCAGATATTGCATTTGAAGGTGGAAGAGTTACAAGCAAATGAAAAGAAGAAATACAAAATGAAGAGAAAAAAAACTAAATTCATTCAGATTGTGTGTTTTGTAACAATTGTTGTTTTTGTATCCATGTACGCATATATGTAATAGTTTGTCTTGTATGTTGTGATCTTAATGTGACTTTTCTGATGTATTAAGCAACAGTTGATTGTTACTTCAAACTGATTTGCAAGTGACTTTATTATGTTTACATGTTCTGATAAGGTGTTGGTAGTTTACAATCTTAACACATAGGTAAACTAAGAATCACCATGAACACAAACTGAAAACCAAGCTGCTGAAAACACAGGTCTCTTTTTATAACCTAAAGCACAACAAAACATACTACCTAAAGCATAACAACATGAAGAAAAACCATAACAACCCATAACAACAACATCAACACAAACTGAATACATAGAACCTGATTACAAACAGAACAAGTTGGGTATAACATCCTCAATAAAAGACAGATAAGATGTTTCATATTACATAGTACAAAAGGCTGAGTATGGCATCCTCAGTACAAAAGACAACCAGATAAGATGTTTAATACAGATGGGTTGTTTTAAACTTACATATTACACAAAACATATTACATATTATATTAAACTACTCCAGGTCTATTGGGTGTGCATCATTCCCAAAAAAGATAGACTTGAAAGAGCTTTTGGATCTCGTGCTATAGGTTGATCTCTTCTTAATGTCCAACTTCTGAGGCTTGGTTCTTTTTAGTTCTGACTTCTGACCTTTTGAGGTCTTTGAATCAGGGGGTGGTCCATAGCTAATCCTGACCCCATGAGGATTTCTCACCTCTATCTCCTTACTGCAGTCATCATCAGTTTCCTCAGTGTGTTCTCCATTTCCCCCTCATTCTCTTTTTCACATTCTTTGTGTTCATAAATGCCTTGCTCAGTGTCTTGACTAAACATTGATGTGTCCTCCATTGAAACAACCATAGGAAATTCAGTTTCCATAGAAGGAGACACTGCAAAGTCCAAAGTAACATCCACCAAGTTGTCCTCATATAGGTCTTCAACTGTAGCTTCTCCATCAAGCACAGATGCTCCAACTGTTGCAGAGTCTCCATCAACTTGTGCTTCAACTGTTGGTTCTCCATCAACCGTAGCAGATCCATCCACAGTACCTACTCCATCAACCATAGGTGTTCCAACATCTCCATCACCATGTTTGGTACCCACAACGTGCTTGGTTGTGGATTTTCTTTTTCTTTTCCTAGGTTGCAACTGATTATACAAAAAATAAGAAGAAGATGTGGTTATACATAAGAGTGTATGAATAAGAGAATAATCAAAATGAGTGCAATATGTGTTTACCAGCTTTTCTTTGTTCTTAGGATCATCCGGACACCTCCTAACATTATGCCCTTCTTTCTTACAATTTGAGCAATGCATCTTAAAGTGTGTTCTTGACACTTTCACTTCATCTGTACTCAGCAATGCATCAACAGCTGATTTCCTCCTAAGCTTTCGTGGTCTTCCAGGTCTGGCTGAATACAGAGGTGGAAGAGGTGCTCTTCTTTCACAAAGAGGCCACTCATCAGGCCCTGCCATTGGTTTTATTGACCCAGCATATATCTTCAGGTAAACTTCCCTTGTGTAACATGGGTGCACATAATCATCTACTGACCCTTTTCCAAACTTCAGCCAAATAGCACATATAGCATGCTTGCATGGGATGCCAGTTAGGTCCCACACCCTGCATGTGCAACTTTTTTCTCGAAATCTACAGCATGTTGGGTACCACTCACCCCAGTAATCTCAAACTCATTATCTCCACACTGATAACCTATCAAACCTGCAGCAAACTTCTCAATTTCTTGTATCTTTTTTACCATTCTGGGGCATACATTGGAGGTCCATTTCTTTGCTTTTTCCCTAATGGTAAATGTGTCTTGCATCTAATATCACACCATTGAAACACTCACATATGTTGTTTGTGAGCATATCAGTTTTGGAGTGTTTGGAGAAATGAGACTTTGACCATTCCCTTGGATTTTTATCTACCAGCCACTCAAAAGCTTTTTGATCTATTTCCTTTACCTTTGTAAGAGCAGCCTTAAATGAATTGACAATACAAGCTCTAGCACATTCCCATAGACTGTCTTTGATTGCTTTACCATGAAACCCAGCCACCTTCATGTTCCCATGCAAATGTCTTACACAGAACCTATGTTCAACCTTTGGAAACAACTCAGTCACAGCTTGAATCAGACCTTTTTGCTTGTCAGACATGAATGTGAATAGATGTTCATTATCTTCTGTGATATCAACATCTCTTCTTATTAGATTCAAAAACCTGGACCAAGACTCCTTTGTTTCCCCCTCAACAATAGCATATGCTAATGGAAATATGCTATTGTTTGCATCAACCCCAACTGCCGCTAATAACTGCCCCCTGTCATGGTTTTCAGATGAGTGCCATCAACACCTAGTACTGGTCTACAACTTTTAAAGCCTTCTCGAGATGCTTCCCAACACATGTACATCCTTAAGAATCTCTATTGGCCATCCAGCTCTATGTTTTCACTTAATTTAACAACACATGTGCTCATTGGATTGCTCATCCTTATTTCAGCCACATAACACCACATTTTTTTGAAGTAGTCATCTTCTTCACCTCTAAGCAACCTTTTAGCCTTGCTCATTGCTCTATAAGCCTGCCTTTCAGTCACATGAAACCTTTCATCAGTACGTACCTTTTGCCTGAACTCTTTGTTCTTCCAGTTGGAGTGACTTTTGATCTCCTTTAACCACCTCTTAGCAACCTTTGTTGAGTTAACCATTTTATTGTGATACACCCAAGAGCACCCTTCATGTGTTCTGTGATACTGTAGTATCCTCCAAGAGTGGGAATTTGCTACCTTTCTGAGGTTAATTCTCCATGGACAGTCTGAGTGCTTGCATTTGACAACAACTCTTTTCTTATCACTTTTTGAAAACTTTAGGTCCTTACCTGTCTTAAAAGCATGATTCTCAAATGCTTCTTTAAATTCTTTCTTGGTAGCAAAGGTCAGTCCCGGCTTGAAGGTAGGATTTTGCATATCAGTCCGGGCACATAAATCACTCCACTTATCACCATTAGAATCAGGACCATGAATGGAAGCATCATCTTCAAAGTTTGGTTTAGGATCTACCAATGATGGATGGTTTTCTATGTTTTCTTGTTCAGTGTTGGTGTGCAGCCCTCCATACTCAGCTGTTGGATCAATGTTATTGGAAAAATCACTATCATCTTTAGAAACAAAGTCCCCTAGATCTGAATCTTCATCATCCCCAGAAAAATCTTCTAACTCCTCACTGTAAGCACAATCACTGCCAGAGAAGTCATCATCACCATCTCCACCTTCATCCTCTTCTTCTAAGAAATTTCCTTCTTCTGACTCAACCCAAATCTCCACAACTCTACCCGCATTTCCATTATTCACACAGACCCAAATCTTTGAGTCACCTTTCAATTCTTCTAATGAAGAATCTAAATAGGAAAACACCCTTCTTACCTTATCAGTGCAACCAAGTTCTTGTATTTTCTCTTTCA